GCGACAACATTATTGAATTTCTGACGCCTTCGGGATGCGTCATTTGCAACCGGCATTTGGATGGACTGCCTGTTGGGTCCAGACTTTCGACCAATCGGAGGTTGGCTTGATGCTGGACTCCGAACTTTTTGGCTAATCTGGCCGTGGCAGCGCCCAACCGTAGCGATAAAGCAGTATCGGTGTGGAATTTCGCCCAACATCCCCTTGAAGTTTGTCGATGTAGTCTCACTGGTTTTCGGATCCTGTCTGTCCCTGGTCGCCGTCGTAGTATGTGCTCGGACTGGGCCTCTGACGGGGCAGCTGATTAATTTTCTGGAATGATGCTGGGATCAAAAGTGTCCAGAAGCATTTATAGACTCGATTCACTCGGTCCTGTGGGCAGGATCTGAGCATCTGTCGGCCGGATTCGGTTTGTGTGTCGGATCCACCTGACGGAAAGCTGTAACATTTTCGTGGCCTAGCTTTCATGCCACTTAAAGGAAGCATAGGGCTGAGATACTGCTAGGTTGCCCAAGCCTAAACAGGAGAAGTCGAGATGCAGAGGTTGGGTTCGAACCCGGACCTTCAGGTCAGTAAGTGCGCCCTCTTATCACGGCATTCTCGCCCCGGGATCCAGCCGTCTTGGCCAACTTGAATCTCACAGAGCACATTGCCGCGCCGGCGAAGGATTTGTTCTGGAATCCATACAGGGTATCGCTGTAGTCGCGAATCAATACTCTAGGCTTTCCTGAAGGAGCGCGCGGTTGCTCCATGATGCCGGTTGAACTGTTCCTCCATTCTGGTGTTGAGGTGACTAAACTACATTTTCTGTGGCCGGATAGCGTCTTGCGGTGTTCGAAGCTTCCTTTGGAGCAGTGCCTCTGCTGATGACACTCCATCAGACGAGTTGATGTTCGACGTCGCTCAATACGCCAGCAGGAACCTTGGCAAAATCTGTTCTTTCGGTATCTTTTTTTCTGGACTGCTGAAGTGCATGCTTGAGTGTCAACGAAGCACCCTCCTGGCCGTTCGACTGTGGATGAAATGGCGGCGAGTGAACATGAGTTATGTCATACTCCCGACAAAATTGTACGAACCTTGATGATGTGAACTGACTGCCGTTGTCGGATACAAGTCCCTGGTGTTCCAAAGCGACTGAACAATCGTTGGAATTTCAGGACTTTAGTGGCTGTTGTGGGATTGTTCACTGGAAAAATTTCCGACCATCTTTTGTAGGCATCGACCATGACCAAAAAGTGTTAGACAATCATGAACTGCACATACGCAAATAAACTCTTGCCACATCGGCCGTCGCGTGGTGCCATCAGCCGGGTCGCCTTACTTGCTGCATACAGCAGGGCGGGTAAGCGAAAACGGGCCACTGCTGACGCCTCCCTTCTTTCTCCTTCACATACTTTTTCTTCCCCCTCCCCACCCCATTTATAACTCTCTCCTTGTAGGCCTAGCACTTACGACTGACGACTCCGTTCGTCATACATCGGTTTTGCGTGCAGCATCTGCTCGTCACATCGTGCCGACATCTTTAGGAATCTCCAAATCAGTCCTCAAGCCTCGACACCCAGTCTATCTGGCCGCGTTCAATGTCCGCACTCTGAAGCAAGCAGGACAACAAGCTGCTCT